TTGGGGGGGGGGGGGGGAAGGAGGTGGAGGAAAGGGGGGGGGGGGGGGGGGGGGGGGGCGCCTGTCTGTACTTTAGACCCACACAGCCCCATTATATCAATGCAGCTCCAAACACAAACAAGAATCTATACGAAACAAAACAGTGATCTGCATTACTGGTAATTTTGCCTTCCAGCTTACGATTTTAGCCTAGACAGTTTAGGCATGAAATTTCAAATGCATGAAGTTTCCATTAGACTTTTTTTAAAAAAGGAAATTATCTAAGTATTATAATCTTTAAAGAAATATTTAAAATAAAATAACTTCTGTTTTAATTCACATGAGAAAACACAACATCAAAGTCTGCCCATTCCTTCCTTTAGTTCTTCTGAAGCTGAGAATTCATTTGTTTGTACAAATTTGGTACAATGCATGTTTTTAATTTATATGCTTGTTTTGCATCTATTTTGGGCATTTGCCTGGGCAGACCTCACATGCTGCTGGAAATTTTTTACCATTTCTAAAAAAAAAAAATTCAACTGTTTAACAAAAACTAATCTTATACAGACCTGTGGAGTACTTGATGTATTTACAAACACAGGATTATCTGAAATTAATTCCCCTCATGTATTTTTCAAAGTTGAAGTTTTTTGCCCTTTATATTATCACCTCAAAAGCATATATTCACAGTCCAAGGTTGTTTAAACTTAACATAGGTTAGGAACACTATGGAATAAGCACATCATATCTTCTGTTCATTCAAGTTGGATGCCAAGCCTACATGACATATTCTCAGTATACTCAACTGCATCAAGTATTATAACTGGAAGACAAAATAGAGGGAACGGCAGATTAGAAATTGAAACTTTGGTCAACAGTCCTTTGGTGTCTCATTCATTTATATCCCAGCACAGTCAAGAGAAGCCTTGATTACCATACTGTCTACTCAGTTTGCTTCATTACATTTATATTACTATGCTGTGTTTCAGTTACCTGACCAGATAAGAAAAAATTGCTCTTTCTTCATAACGTAAAGTTTGCGGCTAAAGATCCCTCTAACCCCACCTGAGCTTCCTTTGAAGCACTACAGGCAAGATTAGAGAGAGGATGCAGAGCAGAATGAAGAGAGGCTTGTAGCAGCTTTATTTACATGTTCAACATTAAAATGATGGTCAGATGACAAGCCAGAAAGAGCCTTCCCTTAGCAAGGCTTAGCAGAGATGAAAGGTCTAGGAGAGATGGTGTAGAACAGATGTGACATTCCTCAGTAGTATGAGGCAATTTGTTGCATTACCTAAACAACTTCACCTAGGAAATTGTTCCTATTGCTAGGTCATTTGCTACACTCTTCTGCTGTCTTCCAGCAGCACATAATGTTTTGTGGCATTTGAGTTCTCACTGAGAGTACTGGGTAGTGGTTTCTGGCTCATACTTTGTAAAATCAACATTTTATGAACTTTCAGGGTTAAACAAACATAACCTAACCTGCAATTATAGGGACAGAAGCCATCCCAAGATGCTTTTGGGTTTGAGTCCTCAGTCCCTATGGATTTCATGCATTATTCCAGCCTACTAGCTGTTTTATCCATCTAGTCTATAAAGCCACCTTCTTCCTCGGCTCTTCTTGCTTGTTGCTAGTGTCTAAAAACAGGGTTGCTATACTCAAGCCTTCTCCTTCTTCCTCCCGACACTATCAGAAAACCCTCTTGCAGTCCCAAAGCTGTGATTATCCCTCTGTCAAGGTACTGAAAACCCAAACCTTTCTTCTCAAGCCACCCATTGCAAGAAGGGTCTCTATTATTACCAGCAGGACTACAGCACTGTGATGTTAATTTCCTTTTAGTTGCTTAGGCTATTAGTATCTTCTTATCAAATAAAGTTACACATTTGTTTCATTGTGAAAACCTACTATTCTATTAGGATACAAATCCTACAGGGCAACAAAAAATGACAAAAATTAGGAGAAAACTTATCACCATTTAAAGGAGAATCTTAAGTAATGTCATCCCAGGAACAGAACAATACAATGCAGGTATTTTTTTTTTTCCTTTACAGACCATTCTTAAGGCCTATTTAAGAGTTCTGATAGTCTAGAAGACAGTCACAACTTTGCAGAAGTTGGTGTGAGAGTGCCAGGAAATGAAGGACCATTTCAATTTTATGACCATCACCATAGTACAAAGACATTTTAAGGACACTAAAAGCAAGTATCTACTTATAATTAGCTGGTTGTTCAGTGATAATCACATCCACCACTGGAAATGGTATGGATAAAGTAATAAATTCCCATTACATTCCTACACATACAGAAGACAAGTAAATGGGCATCATTTCAAGGTCTTGTCCATATCCAGTTCTATTTGGTCTGCTGCTGGGGTTACCCCAATCGTAAGCCTAATCCTCAACTCCTGATAGCTCTGATTCGGCTTCTAGACAGAGCCTTGCAAGCCTGATGAAGAGTCCAGGCTGCTTTATTGCCACCACTCCTAAAAGGGCACTGACATCAGAGACAGATGGTGCTAAGCTGGCTGTGTAGAGCACCTCTCCCACTTCGCTCTATAAAGCAGCCCGATGGAAGCTTTCCTGTTCTGGATCAAAGTCAGCTGAAGCATTTTTTCAGCTGGCTGCCATCCAGACAGTATTCAGACTATCAGATAACAATAACGCCAGGTCTAGCACAGAATCCACTGAATTAATAATGTCATAAGGCAAACCAGGCCCTCCACAGACTCCCAGGTAGTTTAACTGTGTATTTTCCAATTTTCACACAGGCAGTACCTAGACTATGCACTATATTAGAAAAATGAAAATTCAGCTAATACCTCTCAGTAAGATGGAGACATTGCTTAAGCTGGCCGAATGCCTACATCAACCTGGCACCTTAAAACCATGCAGTTTTCAAGGTGTTAGCATAAAATACATGAATAATTTTTGTGGCATGTTTTATGCCCCACTCATGATTAGTTCTCAGCACAGACATTCTGTGTTACTGTTCATTTACTTCAACAGTCTCAGTATGAATTTTTGACTTTCACATTTTTTAATTATATTATTTAAAGAAGTGGGTGGAGGAGGGTAGAGTAATATCCTGTACAGGCCTCACTAGCACTATACCCATTGAATACTGCATTTATTTTAAGAATCCTGTTTCACAGATGTTACATTGTTCACAACTAAATGAATCCATATATTCTAGGCAACTATTATGCAGATAGACTCTAACCAGCAGGAAACACATTTTTTTCAATTTAACAGCACATATATTTGAACTATATAACAAAGATTATTTCTGTCTTCAGTATATTTTAAAAAATTATTTTGTCTATAGAGCTTTAAAAGCATTACAGCAGACAGTGCAATTATGTGTGGGTTGACCTCAGTTGGGAGCATAATCCAAAGCTTCGTTTAATCAGTGAAGAGTCGAGTCTTACATTTCCTTTGCTATTATTCCCAAAACTTTCCCTGTTATTCCTATTTTATTTTGCATATTTTATAAAAACATTGCAATACGACACATCCATTTTTAGCTAAAACAGGCCATAAAGATGTTTTTCAGTCTCTTCCTAAGCTTCTTCATATTTTTTGAATAATAGTAATTACAGAATACCCTGTTTTCCTATAAATTTAGATTCTCGGAAGCCTGATAGTATTACTTGCCATTTCCACGATGAATTTTAAAGATTTTTAATTGAAGCAGTGTATTTAACATCACAGGTAAAACTAAGAACAGCTGTTTTCAGAGAGAAGTACAGTACTATAGATAGAGTAGTTTTTAGATACTCCATCCTTTCTACTGAACAGGAGCCCTAAGGGTAAAATACCAAATCCTCCTGCTGATACACTTGCAATAGTCTGCAATGAGCTCCAGACAACAAGTTCCAAAGAAGTAAAGCTCCAGAGTACATAAAATTTGGATGCAAAATTCTAGCAACTGAACTTAGACTGCAATTTCTTATATCAGAATGTGCTTAAAATTGTTTCTATTCTCTCTCTTTTTAAACAATCTTTAAACAAACAAAAAAAATTCTTGTTAAAAGCAAACACACACCCACACATCCTGGTAATGAGCAGGAGTCTCAACTACATGAAATCTGTATAGGCAAACTGCTTCTCTCTCTCTCTTACATGTATGGTCCTGTATTTAAATGTCACCTGCTGTGGTGAAAAGATCAAGCTTTGCCAGGACATTTAGCTTTCTGTTTGCATGACTGCACTGCCATCAACAATCCTTACCTTTGTAATATAAAAAGATCATTTGCATTATTGTAGCAGGTGAATGCCCCAGTAATGGACGAAAGCCTGACTCTCCAATACAGATCTAAAATATATTTTACTGCTGGGGCAGAAATCATCAAAGAGAATACAAAAGATGGATGCAAAGTTGGGATAGCATAAACAAATAAGGTAATACCGCCCAGCGTGAGAAGTGCTGGAACGAGTACTACATCTGTCTAACCTCTTAAGATTAAAAGAAGATACAAACGAGTGAGTTTCATATTAAACTTATTTTGAAACCACACAGTTTATAATTGGTACATAAAGCAATCATCCACCTACTGAGTGGACAAAAAAGTCCAATTTTTTCAACCAGGCTTCTGAAGATAGGGAATTGGAAGTGTATGCTGATGCATTGCAAAGGTTATTGTCTGGATTTTGAGGGAATTTTCTGAAGGGCTGTTTACAGCAGACTAATTAAATTAATTACAGATTAATTAAAATAATCAAACCAAACACACACATAAAACACATAACAAACATG